TCTAGCTTGTTAGCAGTACGACCATCTGACGAGCCCTTGAGATCATATCACCTTAGCATGTGTAGATATGCCATGAAAACATTTGACATGACGACAAAAAAAAACTGCAAACAGAGAATCATCAACTTTTGCAATCAAGTCACTAATTAAAGAGATAACCCAACTCATGGTCATTCTCGACTTCGAAACAGAAGAAACAAGCGATAATAGCTCAGGCAATATTATCTACCTTAAGGCCTCCAACTGGCCTCATATCACGGAGTCTATACAGGGTGTTCAACAGCGATGCCCTATACTTCTTTAAATGGCAAAAGTAATTTGGAAGCATTTCCAAAAGTGCCTTTATTAAAAGAATGCAAGATGTAAGTGATTTAATGCTTACCAGAATGCCTAGACTTTAAGAATGAGCAACAACAATTAAGATTATGATAAGGCCATGACAAAGATTTCTCTCTGTTAAGTTTCTGTCAGCCGATCATTTATGACAATTGTATATTCGCAAGAAACAGGAAAGTGAAAACAAGCAGAAAACCTATGAGCTTTGACTACATTACCTTTGCCAAGACTTCTTTAGTGTTTCAATGATGAAACTATCATTCTCAGATAAGTGATGCAGGCTACTGGGCAGTCCTGGCGAAGAAACTTTGTGAAGGGTCTGATGGCCCCAGATAGGCAGCAAGTAATCAGCATAACCGGCATACATCTAGTCCTTGCATCTGTCTGCCAAAAGACAGAGATCAATTCTATTTATCAACTAGCAAGACCGCTCTCCATCTTCTACACAAGTTTATGACCTTATTGCTTTGGTCTTTGGCAAAAGAGATTACGTTGCCAGTTGATGAAACAGGACAGAAAATTGGAGTGACCACGAATTTTGGGAATTTCCTTTTGCTTTTTCAACTCAGAGAAGTCAAGAAAATGACAATTAGAGAGAATCTCCTTCAACAATAGCCATGAACAATGACAAAAACTACAAGTAAGACTAGGGAAGTGAATGATGAACAAACGACTAGCTGAAATATAAGACCAAGACAACTCCAATGCAGAGATGATGAAAGCAGAGTGACGAAAAGGTAGAGGAAGGAAACTCAAAGAGGTACCTGAAAATAGCTGGACAATAATCTTTTCACTCAAACTCGATAGCTGCCATTCGGAAGAAACTTAAATTCCTGCTTAGAGTATTGGATCGTGCTTCCTTCGATGGGTCTAAAATGAATCAAAGAAAGTTCCATATGCAGGAGTATATGCTGTCCTGCAAAGTAAGCAAGAACACGTCTGAGTACGCATATTACCTGAATGCGCTTGCTGCTTGAAGTTTTTCATCTAGTTGAACAACCGTGCTCATTCTTCTACTTCCTGTCCTAATCAATATGAGGTAGTCAACGTGCTGCTCTTCAAACATGGTACGATATCAAGAATTCAGATTTGGCAATTTGAAACCCTCAGCAGTAAGCCCAATCATAACATCTCAAAGTAGACACAATAGTCAGACGACAAGCTCGACGCAATGGAATGTCTTGCAGCAGCTAGCACAGAGCCCAGAGAGCAAGTACATGGAGACAAGAATTGCGAAGAAATCTAACACCTAACGAAAGTGGGTTTCTGGTGTTTTGCGGAATGCATGAAGACCGGCATTCCGACCGGACGGCAGATATGACTATAGGAATGTTATTGTCTAGTATTGATTGCTGAAACCTACGTTCTCTTTGAGCTTGAAATCAAACATCTTCTGCTTGTTGTCAGAGCACACAAAAATGATTGAACTGTAAGCCACAAGGCCTAGTCCACGCATGAATTTGAAGCATGTCTCTCTCCAATTGATGAATACTTACTTTGCTAGAAAACAAAATAGTTACAAGGAAGAAACGTAGCCGTTTGCGTTGATGGTTGGTGTCAGACTTTAAAACTTAAATTAAGGTCGAAATTAAGAAAAAAAAAATTGCAATACCTTACTTAATTGAAAAGCACAGTTCTATCAACATCTTCAATTTTTTGGATAATGATTAATATCTTCTTTATGCTAAAGAAATATGTACACGTATACATAGAAGAGAATTTAGGTTACATCTTCCCACTTCGGTTGTCAACTTCTTCTTGTTTATTTTATTCTGGCTTAGTAAAACTTCACACCTCGGCCAAAAATAAAAGAAAAAAGACAATGATTTGACACAAAAGGACATTAAGAAAGATAGTCGGGTGGTGTCCAGATCATTTACGATATCCCACGTCGACATGATCCATTCACGGTTTTATTTACGGAATACTCCTAACGAGACTAGAACTCATGACACAACAGGAGAGAAAGCAAACTCTCTTATCATCCGAGCCAGCATCCGAGGGACTAATTATCTTAAGATCCGGCTTAGTTGAGTCCACACGAAACCGATTCCTATTCGAGAGAAAGATCGCGCGACATCATGTGCTCAAAACAAAGAAAAATTACTGAATAAAATAAACCCTTGTCGCAAAGAATAAACAAATACATAAAATCAACTATATTGTAGCTACTCCAATTGCCCGGGTCAGCTTTCGACCTCAATTTCATCCAACTCCTCCCTTTTTTTTTCTCCCTTAAACAATAATTACAATTAAACTTCGTTTTTGTCACATTACAGGCCTTGTCCCTTCGATTATTTCAATCGCAGAAGACCCGACAGCCGTGCACGGTCGTACTAGAAAGTTTAAGCAGACTCGGCCCGATTTATTGCTTCCAGAAATTGTATTGCTGGACCCAAGATTTCTAATTCTCGACCCCCATAAATTTCTGTCGGATCCTCCCGGATGCGCACTCAATTTTTTGCAATAAAATTTTGGAAGAGTTGAATAATTTATTCGAATTTCATTAAGGAGTATGTCATGGCATCATACATATATATTTTCCTCATTTTAATAAGAAATATTTCTCATTAACTATATTTAACCCATGGTATCTGTTCGTGCTTCCAAATCCAGAATGGCAGGCTTTGTTCGACCTCCTTGCCATCCCATGAACCAGAAGAGCATGTACCAGTGTACTCAAAACATGTAACTTAAACCGATCGATCTTTATCTCCGTCGCCTTCACTCTGACGACTTTTCCGACAATATGGGCTACCGGATGGTATAACTACGTGCACATAGTAGATATATTCATGCCACGAGTCTTTGTTCAACAGAAAGTAGGTATGGCCAGCGACGAACTGAGTTCTTGCCTATATAAGCGAGGCATATTCATCCATGCAAGATTGCCTGACTTTTGAGATGGCGGAGATGTTCGAGATTAGGAAACGATGGCCAAAGGGTTTTTTGGACAGTGACTATATCTGCTCGATAATGGCCCAATTCCTTAAAAAATCCCCAACTTTAGCCTTTGTCCCAATTATATTCCAAACTTTTTTTTGTCTCATAAAAAACCCCAAACTTTTACTTTTGTCCCAAATCTACCCCGTTTACTATTCGTCTAATTTTTTAATATTATTTTTTATTTTTTCGAATTTTTTTCTTTTCTTTTCTTTTTCCTTTCCTTTTCTTTTTTTTTTTATCACCTTCAACCTCTGGCCGGTCGCCGGTCGGCGACGGCCAGAGGCGGGGCCGGCGAGGTCGGCCCTCGCCGGCGGCCGGGCGAGGCTCGGCCCGCCGGCGGTGGCAAGGTCGGCCTCGCCGTTCTGCCGGACGAGGCCGAGCCTCGCCCGGCCGGCGAGGTCGGCCCCGCTGCGCTTGCAGGCGAGGCCGACCTCGCCATCTGCCGGCGGGGCCTAGCCTCGCTAGATCCGGGCGAGGCCAGCCCCCCGGCGGCATCGGCGAGGCCTGGCCGTCGCTGCCGGGCGAGGCCGAGCCTCGCCAATGGGCGGCAGGGCCGAGCCTCGCCAGATCTGCGCGGCTAGGCCCCGCCACGGCGAGTTCGGCCTCGGCCGACCTCGCCGTTGCTTCGGGCGAGGCCGACCTCGCCCGGCGGCCGGCGGGGCCGAGCCTCGCCAGCTGCCGGCGGGCCGAGCCTCACCAGATCTGGCGAGGCTCGACCCCGCCAACCGCCGGGCGAGGTCTGGCCGAGGCCGAACCTCTCAACGACGAGGCCGACCTCGCCAGCTGCCGGCGGGGCCGAGCCTCGCCAGCGGCCGGCGGGGCCGACCTCGCCGGCCAGAGGTTGAAGGTGATAAAAAAAAAAAAAGGAAAGGAAAAAGAAAAGAAAAAAATTCGAAAAAATAAAAAATAATATTAAAAAATTGGATGAAAAGTAAACGGGGTAGATTTGAGACAAAAGTAAAAGTTTGGGGTTTTTTATGAGATAAAAAAAATTTTGGGATATAATTGGGACAAAGGCTAAAATTGGGGGTTTTTTAAGGAATTGGGCCCTCGATAATATAAGTTACTAACACTGATGCATGCAAGTTAGATCACTCAAGGAAACAGGATCCTATACTGGAATTTCTCACTTGTCAGATGCAATTCTAAGATCGATCTTTGTTACTCAAACAGTGAGAAAGCGTAGTATTAAGATGAACCAAACGAGAAATTAGTACAACGTTGAGAAGGTTCCTGCACGAGATATGATCCCGTGCGCTTTGGCACGGTTGACTGACATAGTACCCATAGCAAAGCTTCGGTATTTGGCTCGTACGATTCTTCTTTTCATATAAGAAAAAAAAAACCGTTTGTCCCCACAAACATGGCTCTAAAGTAATCCATCACAAATGTGGATGACAACGTCGGTATAATCCAAAAGCTAGTGCAGACAATACCGCTGAAGAATATGCAATAAGGCTAAAGACTGAATAACACCCGAACCAAGGAAATGCCAAACCCTCTAATTCATAATTCTTGTTTCTGAAACCTAGTATTTTAACAGAACAGAGAAAACCAACCAAGTATAACATTCTGGGATACCTGCAGATTTCAGTAAAGTTGGGAATCACGGTGCACAAAGGACCTATGCAACCTTGAAGATGCAAGTTGCACTAGACATGATGTACTGTCAAATTCTAGCTGCCATGCACTGTGCATATGAAAAACACTACGGAGCATAAAAACACCCAATCGAATGTTAGAAAGTAGAATCTTAAATACAAAAGACATCAATTTGAGAAAAAAAGAACCCAAAGCTCATATTTACTCCCATTTTCTGAATGCAAAGAATGGTATCTGCTTCCATTGCTGCTACATTCTCTATAAACTTTATCATGCCACTTGATCATGTAACTTAAGTTAATTGCAAACAGACACAAGGAACATGAAGTGTTGCTCCAACAAAAGTGACCATCGAATTGAACAAAAAACAAATTAGGGAGCAATTTCAAGCCTGGGCTCAAACGAAAAACCAGTGAAAAGCTGAAGAGGGAACCTCTTCGTCACAGGGCACTTTAAAGACCACTTCCATTGTTTTTGGCTCATATCAAAAAGAAGAAGCATCGAGTTGCCATAGCTCTGGATGTATATCAGATCATCCATACCACTGCTGGCAAAAACATCATCAAGTTCCCCAAATCCTTGGAAGAACTTATGGGGCATGCGGGCGATCTCTTGCCACTCCCTCCCTTTTAACATCCAGATGCCAATCCCCTTAATTATGTCGGGCCGATCTTGCTTACCAATTCCTCCCACCATAACCAGGTTCTCCTTCAGATTCATCAGACGGCCACAGGTAAGGGGGCAAGGTACCGGAATAGAGTTTTTGATCAACAGACCATGGGAAGATCGCCCCGAGAGATCATATGGTACTAGGCCATGACGGTTTTCCGGTGCACCACCACCTGTCGAGTAAATCAAGAAATACAAAATGCCATCACAAATCACACTCTCATCACCAGCCCTCCAACCGGTGAAAACCTCAGTAGATGAGGTGGCCCATATCCTAGTCTCAGAATCATATAGATATATTGAAAGATCCCACTGATAAAAATTCCCAGGGACTTGCTTTGATTTGACAATGGAGATCTGATAACCATTGGAAACTCTGCTGGTCGACATTGCCAGGGCACTATAATCAGAAAACTTCGAACCCGGGGGCTCTGCTAGCTTCCTCCAACGTCTAGTGATCGGGTTGCAGATGTATAATTCACTTCTACTGTCATTGTCCATGAAGGAAACCAACCCACATGAAGAAGCTTTGCACCAATTGGACTTTTCAATGCAAGGCAGGTCAATATTGTACCACTTTTTAAGGATTGGATCAAAGGCATACCCACCAGGCTCATCAGAACTCGTAAACATAAAATACCAAGGTTTCTGTGAGAGTACCTGTGACAGGTTCCATAAGAACCTTCTTGAGCTAACTATTTCATGCCATCTTTTACAGACGGAACCTGCTCTGAAGATGCACATAACAGGGAGACAAGCCAAGATTCGCTCCAAGAGATCATCCGGCAAGATTAAATCCAGAGAGACTGCAGAAGCTGCTTGATTGCCTTCATCGCTAAGCTCAGAGAACGATTCAAACTCATCTATGTCTCTAGCAGTATCGTCATTGCAGTGAATAACCCACGATGTTTCTCCATCCATCATCTCAAACTATAAGTAAAAGAACATAAAAATTTGTTAAACCTAGCTAAATGAAAGAAAAAGTGCTGCCCCGAACAAAAAAAAAAGGTGCTGCAAAGAAAACTGAAGAGAAGATCAGACGGGTCACTAGTTGCAAAAATCTATTGGAGAGGATAAAAACAGATTAGTAGAATGCAAAGATTAGTCAAAAACATGTCAAAACGCTCGAAATCTAGGTATATAACTATATCATAATCCCTTAGTGACCTTTAAAGAAAAGCTCATCTCCAGATGCCATCAAAGAAAAACATGAGAAAGTTCTCACCAATGTCACAATTCACCAATAATCATCAAAACTTAGAAAGCAACATTCCAGTAACTTGCATTCCAACAAAGACTAATCAAATAAAATCTAAATTATTCTGTAGGTTGCTTTCATCAATTCATTCAAGTTGCAGAACATCCGTAGCACAATCAACAGAGCACAATGTCCATAATACATTCAAGACCTTACCCCAATGAAAAGAAGCCACATTCAGGTACAAATAGAAGCAAAGCCAGAAACTAAAATTACTTCATTCATCATCATCATCGCAACAGGACCAGTACAAGACAACATGAAAATTTAAACTCTCTAGCTGGATTCCACAGAGTCGTGGCTAGCAACCAAACCAAGCAATATTTGGGCACCGGAAACAGAGGCAAAGCAATCTGAGCTAAGCTAAAATGAAAAAAGAAAAAAAGGACTGGTAACACCAATCCCACTCAAAGCCCCACCCAGTCGTACCGAGAAATGACCCATCCTAGCTGAACCCACCTCACGGATTGAAACCACAACCGGATCAACGCAGCACGGGAAAGAAAGAAAACAAAAGAAACCCAAAAAGATGGAAACGGAAATAGCTCCATTAGATCGAGAGATGGAAAAGTACCCTGGTCGAGAGCCTTCCTCAGGGCTGGAGGCCAAATGGGTGAAAGCAGATTCAGGCGAAAGTTTCAAGATTTGCGAGAGAGGGTCGATGTCGATGGCGAAGGAACCGAAAAGGAGCTTCTTTGATGTCGAACACGAAACGGCGGTACCACAAAACTCCACAGTACAGCAGACGCGCGCGCGCCCACAAGAGAGAGAAGAACCGAAACCGACCGTGCGTTGTAGATTCCGCAGAGGGTGATGAAATGGGGTTGCTCCAGATTTGGCAGATGACCACGCCTGAGAAACCCACCGCCGCCGAGGGAGAGAAAGAGAGAGGAAGAAGATGTGGATTTACATGAGTGTTTCGAGAGGTGCGAATTCTCAACGGAGAGGAACGACCGGCGAGGAACGAAATTGGAGAAGGCGGTCTATCCGGCAGGCCGTGCGGTTTAGAGAGAGAAAGAGGGCGGCGCGTGAACCCACGCAGGCCGTCGCCGACACTGCATCTCCGCCACTGCCGCCGTGAGTTGGGGCAGAGAGAGAGAGTGTGTGTGTCCGAGGGCGAGGTGTAGTGGAGACAAGAGTGAGGGCGATTAGGATTTTTATTGTTGAAAAGAAGACATCGTTAGTGTAGGGTAATGTAATGTTGTGCTCCAAGGGAGATCAGCCGTTCGATTCATGTCGGGAGCAAAATCTCTGAACCGCTCGTGTTGCGTGGCTGAGCCTCTGGTCTCGATTGCTAGCATCTTAGTGGAGCTGCAGCAACGGGCTCGTCTTGCCAACCTCATATTTTCGATTGAAAAGGATATCAAAATAGTTAGATGGATATGAAAATCTTATAACGATACTCAAATTGAGGTCACTGGCACTGATCAAGTCTCCTCATCTTTTTTACCTGTAAAAATGAAAATATCTATGTATGTAATCAACTCCAAGCTAAAATAATTGTGAAAAAGATAATGATAGTACATTGTGCTCTTTAATTATATCGTTTGATTTAGATTTTTTTTTATAATGAAATAAGTATCATAATTGCTTTGTAACCTATGCACAAGAGCTAGTCAAATTTGTACACCAAAAATGTTAAACTTGCTAGTAAAACTAAGTATTTTTTTTTTCCACCATGCGTATAGAGCACAAAAGTCATCCCTTTCATAAAGGAAAAAAGAAGAAATTAAACAAAAATTGTTGGAATTTTGGGCACAATGAATAGGAAATTTTGTAATGCCATCTTACTCATCAATCTCCAATTTTGACTTTATATACTTTCTTTTTCTTGCTAGTAGTCCTAGTGCCCTCTCCTTTTTCAATTTTGGATTCCAGTTTGTCTCCCAATTCTCAGATTTGCGTTACTTTCTTTTTCCCTTTTTTCCCTATTTTTTTTTTGTTTTATGTTTCCGGTACATGTTTGACCAAACCCCATTGAAATATATAATTCAATCTGATTTGCATTTTCCATTCTCTTTTGTTTTGATCTAATTTTCTCTATTATTGAGGCATACCCTCTTCAAGAAAAACTACGAGAAAGTGCATAACTGATGCATTGAAAATACCTTCTTCTAATTGTGAATCAATGTGCCAGTAGTAAATTCCTGAAGTACGATGCAACTTATGAATGACAATGTTGGTCAATTGTAAGATCGATTGAACATGCATCCAAGTCTTTCAAAACTATCGAGCTTCATGAGATGAAAGTCGAACTAAAGAGAAATTATTGCATGAATTTAGTATATCATTAAACCGAACATAAACTATGACAATGGTGCCTCGCACTCACATAAGCAAATAAAAGCGAACTTTACAAGAATTTGTCATTATCCTCGGCAAAATGCTTAAAGCACTTCAAGTTTTTTTTTTTTTTTGAGTCACCAAGGATCGAACCTCCTTCATCGCAACTTACATACCATTTAAAGGATTGTGTAGACCGATTCTCGAGTAAAATCGATGCTTCAAAAGGTTAACCCCAGAACCAAACTGGTCTCTCGGGATTTTTGCCATTCGCAATCTTTTTAATTATGCGTTAAAACCAAAGCCACACATGTAATTAAAGATAAAATTAAGAGGGTCTCTTATTATATCGAGTTTGGCAATTGGGATGATACACAATCTATAATCATATTCAAATGATTATTCCCTAAAAGGTTCTTTAGGCTAATGCTTTGTGTGTGGAGCTTTCCTAGATGTCTCCAACATATAGTTTTATATCTAATGCAACCAAAGAAAAGGCATTGATCACCTAAATCAATTTGGCATCCAAGTGCTTATACTGTGTACCTAGCGTGGAGGAGAGAGAGAGATATGGGTTGGTCTCTTAGTGGTTCCACCACTATGAAACTCTCTTTCCAACCAAGCCACCTTAGGCACCACATTAAGTCATGTCTCACTTCCAATACTTTTATTTTTAATTTGATCCCCCTTTTGAATATGTTGATCTTGTTGAGGGAAAAACTCCACCGGGTTTGCAATTCTGGCTCTGTTTGTTTCGCGAAAAATAAATAATTTAAAAAATATTGTTCTAAAAACAATCGCTCGTATGCTTAAAATAGTTTTAGTCAATTTTTTCATTTCATTAATTATTTTAAATGATATAAGTTATTATTTTTAAGAAAATATTTTTTAAATTATTTATTTTTTGCAAAATAAACAGAGCATTCATGTACAGAAAGACCGCAGTTGACAAAACCCGATCTAACCCAATATCGAAAGTGATGTGTTTCCACCTTTTTCGTGCTGTTTTATTCCATTTGTTAATCATTTTGTGACATTGATATGACTATTACGTGGATCTTTCGGGCCACTAATGCTATACCATTTGCAGGCCGCCTTCGTTTGCACGCTTTTTCTTGGAATTAAAGGATTATTAATCGATAAAAAAATCACCAAAACTAATAATATTCGTGAATTTATTAATACCCTCATATATAGTATGAAATATTAATAATCTCCAAAGTGACTCGATAAAGAAGCGATGTTTTTTTTGGCTCTCGTGTCGTTCTCATAACCACGAAAAACTTTCGATATCGTCAATATTTCCCTAATCATGCTATCCTAATGGATTCTTACCTCATCAAGAATGTAACATCAGATTCAGTCTATGTTCAATCTAGAGAAATCAAACCTCAAAATTGCGTATAATTGAATGGCTACAGAGAACCCAAAAAGGCTTTTTGGTTTTAATGAGTAAAGCCGTGGGTCGAATGGAAGTTAGAGATATGCCTTTCTTTCAACGTGAGAAACGTGTGATTGCTAATTAGGAGAATCATGCATAGTAATTTGCTTGGACATTAATATATATATATATATATATATATATATATATATATGAGAAAAAAATGAAGAAACCAACCTCCACTTTTTATTTTTATTGTTGGGTTTTTTTTAATATTTCCCATATCCTGTTGGATTTTTCAATTCAAGTGCACCACACATGATAGGTTGAGCCAAGAAAAAGAGAGAAAATAAAATTGGAAATGCAAAGTGCTCTACACATGATTTGGCACATCACATGCCTCTCCATTCATGTATAATCTTTTGTTATTTCCTTGCAAATTAATTTAATTCCTCGAGCCAATCGATTCCGACGTGGGGATGGGTTCTCTCGGTCCGATCATGTGGACGATTTTCTTTTATTTTAATTCTTTTTTTATCAACGTCGTTTAAACACAAAGGATGTGAAAAAGAAAAAGGGTCTTGACTCGGGAAAAGTGGGGCGAAAAAAGCAAGAATAAAAGGAAAATGAAACATCAAGCATCGTATCAGGCAAAGCAACATCCTTAATTACTTCACCAAGAAGCATGCATAAATTTATAAAAAAAATGTTTAAAAAAGAGGGGTAAAAATCAAAAGCAATTAAAGAGGCATGGCAAGTACATGCATGGCACGTCATCTCTTTTCTTTTCTTTTTTGCATTATTATTTTATTTCGGGTCAAGTTTCAGTAGGATATTTAACCGGTCGGGAAGAAACATACTAATGTTGCACTCGAGCCTCGACGGATAAGAGATACCCAAAAAAAAGAAAATACAAAAGCAAGCAAGGACGGCACGCGTCCTCTTGCAAATGGGTATTTCGATAGAGGTCTTTAATCGACACCAACAACAATCTATCACATTAATCTCGTAAGTCCAGTGATACGGGCTAACTAGAGAAAAACAAAGGACATGAAGAAAAAAACACAGACCGAAAATAAAGAAAGTGACAAGTAAATGAAGCAAGAGAAAGAACAATAACTAAACGAAGCTCTAGCTCTATTGGTTTTTCTTGTAAATGTGGCTAGGGGATTCAATGCAAAGTTAAATCTTGCCTGCGGAAGGACAGCTTGTCATCGAGCAATTCAATCCATTATCTCACAAGAACGTGGAATCATTGCCAAGTTCATTAGTGCAATCCTGACATCTCTTCGGCTCCGTGGAGTTTTCGGCTTCTTCGAGAAAATTATTGTTCGTGCCACCTTGGCCTTGTAGGTCGGTATGTATGGGCGACCTCCATGTTTCCTATGCGTGCGTAGACCCCTCGAGCAGGTTGATTTCAGCTTCCGCGATTCGTTTTCCCTTGTTTAGGTTTAAGGCAAGAGCGATTGGTTTATGTTAGATGGATTGGTAAGTTTGGTTATTCGTGTTGGGGTTTTGTTGTTTAAAGGGAGACGATCGAGGGAGCTCTCGGTAAACCTCATCGGCCGGTTTCACGATGTTTTTAGAGTCATGATTGGGTAGGAAACCGTGCTGGTATTGCTCCTTCGGGAGAGGCGGCCCTATTTGCACGCCCGTTTTGGTTGATAACGCACGTTTTTTTAAGTGAATCTCTAGATTGCACCGGACTTCTCTCTCGCCCTGTAATCTTCTCATGCATAGATGGTTTTTTCTAAATATGTTGTTGGTTTTTAGGTGTCAGATGTTCATCCTCTTGTGCTTCATCTAAGTGTCATGAGGTTTCTACTAAGACTAATACTCGGGTTCATCATTCCTTCATGTTTGATGTGCGTTGCTTCGCAGAGTAATTTTTTTTTTTTAATGCTGATTTGGTTTTGCCTTGTCCATAACTCCTATCATGTGAATTGACTATCCAGAGAAGATAGGAGAAAGGTATTTGGCATGAGAAAATCAAAGCGATAATGACACAAATAGTCATTGAACTTTAACTCAATGTGTAATATGATTCATTAACTTTTAATTTGTTCAATATGATCTATGAACTGTAGCCTAATGTTCAATATAGTTCTTGAATTTTTATTAAACTGTTGGGGAGAAAGTTAAACAATTCAACCTCGGCACCAACCAGCCATTGTATTCGAGCAATTTAAGCCGCAAAGACAATAATTATAGTGTTGGAAAATTGGAAACAAGGTAGCAACAAGGCCCATGAATATCACGTGGAAAACCCAATACGAGAAAAACTATGGACCGCTAAAGAAACTTCCACTAATCACTAGACTTGTCAAAATAGGTCATAAACCCATTTCTTAACCCATATATTAGTAAATGGGTTATAAATGGGTTAGTTATATTCAGTAAATGGGTCATAAATGGGTATATGTATAATATGGGTGTTAAATGGGTCATAAATGGGTTTACAACTTATTTAAACTCAACTCATCTATCTCGTGCTCACTCAATCTCGCGCTCTCATATCAATTTAGGTATGAGTTTTCTTAGATTTAGTTAAATATGGAAGTGTTTTAGCAATATAAGTCGGGTCGGATATGGATTGGGTCGAGTATGGGTCAAGAAAATTGCATTGCGCATAAATGGATCAT